TGCTCACAAGAATCCGAGGAAGACATGATCTTGCATAACTAATTTTTTAAATCCCAAACAAGGAAATTAAAAGCTAGAGATATGAACTGTGATCTTTTAATACAAAGGACAATGATAGACATTTTGTTTCTGTTTCTTTGTCGAAATTCTTCAACACCAACTTCAGTCGGTTCTTATTTGAAAATATCGGTTTAAAGAAGTCGGGATACGGATGATTTTGTTCAAACGCCATATTGAGTCACTCAGGACAGGTCACTTTTAATACAAAAGACGATCGCTTTGTGGTTTATCAAAACCACGTATACAACTGGAGATTCCATAATGAAGAATAATCACTGTTCAATACGAATTTATAAGATACCAAAATCTATTGACTTATTCACTGTAATTGATCTTGCCTAAAACTTTTGTTTTTATGAAACTATCGAACGACACTGTATCGGCAATACATTTAGCCGGTAAAATAGAATTATTTATGTACAGGCACACCCACGCTCACAAACACACAAACACACATATATATTTCTAAAGTAGTGATGGATTTTTATTCATCAATCTGACAGATTTTATTACTTGAACACTATTTTTAGTGGATACCCATATTTGAGTAGACGCTCCGTATATTTATTAAAGAGTACATTAATTTATTTTCGTCTATTTGGCCTGAATATTTGAGAAATCGAACCTGCACTCCCGTGGTAGGAGAAACCGTCTTCTGATCCGACGTGCATTACACCGACTCGGCCACGGAGTATATTGCAATCAAGCAAAATTGAATCATGCCTTATAAACGCAATTCTTTCTCAGACTCGAAACATTCATATCTGCTCAGTTTCGTACCTTAACGTAAACAAAGCAATTCCTAATGAAGCGATGGATTTTTATTTATTAAGCCGACAAAAAGAAATCCATCACTTCATTTAAATTTACTGTTTAATAAATATGGGTATCCATTAAAATAATATATATATATATATATATATATATATATATATATATATATATATTCTGTTTATATGTTATTTTAATACATACAATTTATTTATATGTGGCTGAATGTTTAACAGCACATCAGATTAAATACTGGCTCCCATTGGAGTTATAGGTTCGAGTCCTGTCGGAGAAGCACATATTTTCTACAAAATTTCTCGAACATTCAGACCGGTAAATGTAATTAATACTGTTTAAATAAAAAAAACAGAGCATTTACTTAAATAAATTGTATCTATTAAAATAACATATAAACAGAAAATATATTAAATAATTGTCAGACTTAATCCATTTCATAATATATATCATAAAAAATTATACAAAGAATTAATTATCAATGTTAATGAGAGTAATGGCGAAATCACTTCGCTAACAAGACTTAATGAGACATTAACTTACTATCAATTCCTTGAATAATACGATCCTTATATTTGGGTTATCAGATGGAACTGACGAGCCCAGTGCTTTCGACAATTTCAAATTGTCATCGTCAGGGCGCAATTTTTTTTCCATGTACAGGCGAAACACTAGGACGAAATATGTGTAGTGTAGACCGAAAGATGTTTTTTTTTTTTAAATATGCTATTGTCGAAAGTCAATTCTATATTACAACAACTCAAATACAAGAATCGAATTATTCAAGGAATTGATAGTAAGTTAAATGTCTGATTAAATCTTGTTAGCGAAGTGATTTCGCCATTAATCTCGTTAACATTTCTAATTAATTCTTTATATAAATTCTTTATGATATAATATAAAAGCTGCACATTCCAATATATATATATATATATATATATATATATATATATATATATATATATATATTCACAAAAGTCATTATTCACTTAAACATTTAAACATTTGTATTGAATTCTTTTCGCAGTACCTAACTAATCTTATGAAGAAAATACTTTATTTTTTTGCGCTATCCGAACCTATTTATGCCTCTATAAATGATACAATTTAGTGTCTATTGTTAGCTTTATATTACGAAGAAAAAGTGAATTTTTTTTTTAATTTTGTAGATTTTTGTGAATGTTTAAGCGTGGTTCTGCTGTGTAAATTATTTTTAAAATCTTTCATTCATCTCTGTCATGTGATAAAATACTCGTTTTTCTTTTTCTTCAATTTTACAATGGACAAACCGAGATGTTAGAATTAACAGGTGTTTAATTGTTTGTGTATTAAGATATTTTCCACCTGTTTGGTACCTTATTATTCCATGTTTTACACAAAATTTCGAAGTTATTCTCCAAGATATTTTAATATCTTATGAAATTTTTACTTTTACATCTTTTTAAAGTTCTTTTATTTGTTTTGTTTCCTTAATTATTTTATTTTTATTTTTTTATCATTTTCTATAGTTGCTTTCCAGGAGGTGTGTGGGGCGTAACAGTTATTAGTACGGAAATGGAATCGGGAAACAGAGTTCAAATTCCGACTGAATCTGTTTATGCTCACTTAACACTAATATTCTTGGGAAAGGCATGAATTCGCACACACCCTGAGCTCTGACGCCAGATCTTAAATGTCTCGTTACTTACATGTCAAGACGGTTGAAAGAGAAGGGTGAGAGAATGAGCACTTGAACAAACCAGTCTCGCATCATTAGCAGCGTGGCTATAATAACTAAAGCTGATACACCCACTGTCATCCATGACAGGGACCAGCCTAACACTTAATGCTTTCAATTCGCTGCTGTTTCTCATTGAGACGCTAAATTTAAATTATTATTCGCGTTCAAATCGAATCGCACCATCGAACAAATTTAATATTTTACGTGTATGTATCACACAACGTCTGAAATTTATTTTAAAATTTTTTCCTGAAGTAAAATTATTTAAAAATTTGACTCTTTGTAATGTGCCATTTTTTTTTAATGTAATTAAAAATAAGAACTTCATGTTCGTTTTAAGTGTGTATATGCGTCACTTAATATCGCAAATAAAACTTTGTCCATCCTGTTTATAAAAAATAATATAAACGAAAGATAAGAAGAATGATAAAAACACATAAGGCAAAAATGTCCAATATCACAATACTAGCATCGTACCCGTCAAAAACTGACTGGATTACGTACGTATAGATCGACACTTCTGTCGATGATCAGGCTAGTATCTGTGTGCTCTGTCTAGGATAAGTGTTTCTCTCCGGCACTTTTGCTTGGGTTCAGTGTAGCATCCGTGCAAAAGTGTTTTACACACACACACACACACACAGAGTTGTATGAATTTGGAGTTTTATTATGCAGTTTTATTGAATTCGATCGACAAGGCTAATCTTTCTAATTAATTATTAAAATTTTGTGTATAATCTGACGTATATCCAAATTTACGAACTGTCCAAGTTTCTTCATTAAAAAAATTAATTAAAATAAAATAAAAAATATCGTTTATTTATAGCTGAATGTTTCAACGATGTGATCTTTCGTTATCTGACACGTTCACTAGAATATGCGTGCATCACTGAGAGGTCGATCATGCGAAGTTTTTTTTTAATATGAATATATATATATATATATATATATATATATATATATATATATAAATAAAGAAAGAACAGACAGATTATAAAGTATAAGTTACCCAACATCGCCTGATGATGGAACAATTTTTAAGTTCCGAAACATAGAGATTTTTGTGTAGCGATGTAAAATATTTTATAATAAAAATATTTTTGCATATATATATATATATATATATATATATATATATATATATATAACTGATTTAAAAATATGTGTAGCGATGAAACCATATTTTTTAAACCAGTTAATTTAAATCAGTTAATTTATATTATTTATGCTCTGTAAATTTACATTGAGCACTTATTGATACTTTTATTTTTACAAAATAAAATATCAATAAGAACACCGGATTACATATCTTACTGTTCTTCCTTTTTTACTATAAAATATATATATATGTGTGTGTGTGTGTGTGTTTTTGACTGTCACTTATATATATATATATATTAGACTGTCTAATTATATATATATATATATATATATATATATATATATATATATATATATTAGACTGTCTAATTATATATATATATATATATAATTAGACAGTGATGTCAACATCGAGCGGCGACAGTCTGTTTCATGCTTGAACGCAATCTTCAGAGCATGTCCTAAAGATTACAGGAAACAGACTGTCACCACTTGGTGTTGACGTCAGTCTCCACTTATATTTACATATGCTCTATTCCTGATATTGTCAATTTTTACCTGTAATTATACTACACTTTAAAACTATATTTTGTCATATGTGTGTGTGTGTATTTTTTTTTTTTATGTATTTGCAGTAATTTCAATATTTTCTTTGAAGTTTTGATTTTGCCTTTAAAACAAAAAAAAAAGTTTGCCATCAAAAACATTTTGTTGTTTACCTTAGGTATTTTTTAGATTATTGGCCCCGAAGACAGGAAAAAGATTTCTAATTACAAATTTCTAATGACTGGGTATGATCATAGGCTTGCTGATCTCCTGACCATCTCCCTCCTCATGTCTAGATTGCGTGCCAATATCTGAATCTTTGTGAATGATCTTCTAATCTACTCAGTGATTTTGTCAGGCCATTTCCCCCCGCTCTGTCTTCCTTTTCTTTTGTCTAAGCTTTTGTAGGATGGTAGTGGAAAGATTGTTGGCTCTTATCACGTGGCCATATAATTTCACTTCCCTTAACGGTGGACATGATGTATTTCAATGGCCATGTTTCTTGTCTGATTGTGTCTCACGCTGCGCAATATGTAATGCAGTCTCCGTAGGAGGTGCATAGGATGTTTCTGTAGCATCTCATTTCTAATGCTTGGGTTCTTCGTTGTAACAATGTTTGAGGAGGAGGTGGATCAATAAGTCAGTAGCCTAACGTTGTGGTTAGTTGAATTTTGATCTGAAATTTTCACTGTATAATATTTCATCTGTGATTAATGGAAAAGTTATTGGCCTCAGTGCATTGACAAGGAGATCATATTGAAAAATAAATATTTGTAAAATACTTTTT